TAGTTCGTGTCTTAATTCAGGTACGTTATTGTGTTGATTATTATTTTCCTTTGATTTAAACAGTTACTTCAGGTATTTTCCCTTTCGTTTGCTGCTATGTCATTGTATTCCTTTTATTCTGCCATTTTTTCCGTTGGTTTCTTATAAATCTCAATATTTATTTTTGTGTAACATAGAAGTCGCTTTCCATCCTTTTTTTAAACTGTTCCCAGTGTTCTTCTTGCCAACTGCTTTGTTTAATTTCGTATTCTTCTATAGTTGTCTCGGGATTCTGGGGTATTTGATGTTTTTTTACTTGGTGTAGGCCTCTCGTTTATCTTTAATTTTCTTTTTTATTTCTTTTCTGAATCATGATGTATTGTTTTTGTTTCTTTTGTTCAGTATGACTTTGCGTTTTCCTAGAGCTTCTGTTAGCGCTTCTTTAATGTTGTTTTTAATTTTCTCCCTGCTAGCATTTATATCTTCGTTGTCGTTTATTTGCTTCAGCTGTATCTACTGTGCTAGCCTCCTTTGGTAGATTTCTCTTGTAGGGTCATTCCACAGTAATTCTACAATTAATTTTTCCTCGGTGATTTCCTGTAGAAAATTTTGTTTTGGTGTTATTTTTATTCTGATCTTAGCTATTATTACTAGTTTGTGTTTACTCCCTACGTCTGCTGAGTTTAAAAATCGGATATCTAGAATTTGCATATTAAATTAAATATTATATATACAATGTCGGTATATAACGTTCTTCGAAGTCTTTCAATTTTCAATCTCCATCTAATTCTATCGCTCCATAGATCCTCCAGTTCTCTTTCCCTGATTTCTTTATCAACTTCTTCTCTCCAACTTCTTCTAGGCCTTCCTGGTCTCCGCCTACCTCTTGGTTGCCATTCAAGAATTTGTTTTGGTATTCTATTCTCCGGCATTCACAGGAGACACAGGATACGTGTCTCATGCGTGTCTCAGGACACGCTTGCAATACCCTTAACGTTAATTATGCAAACCTCTTTCATCCAAAACTCCTTACCCCCTAGTTGGAAATTAGCTTCCGTTACCCCTATTTTTAAAAAAGGCAACAAACTCGACTCCAACAATTATCGTCCGATTAGCTTGCTGCCAGTAGTTGCCAAAGTTATGGAAGCCATTATTTCCGAGATGACCAAATTCCTTCTCCAGGAACATGTTATTCCAACACAACAACATGGATTTGTCTCTGGTCGCTCTACTCTAACCAATCTCCTACATTGTGTTAACGACTGGACCTTATCCCTTAACAGTTCGCAGCCGGTCGACGTTGTTTATCTAGATTTTTCTAAAGCCTTTGACCGTGTACCTAAGCGCAGACTTCTACATAAGCTAGAACATTTCGGAGTTCGCGGTACTTTACTTCGTTGGATAGATGATTTCCTGACAGATTGATATTACAAAGTTAGAGTTGGCGAATCTTTTTCACAGGACAGATTAGTGGAAAGTGGAGTGCCTCAGGGTTCTGTCCTTGGACCTCTGCTTTTTACGGTTTACACCAGCGATATTCCTTATTATGTCTCAAGTAAAATATCGTTTTAAGCCGACGACACAAAAATATATGCCAATCCAAACACAAACCAGCTAACCCTCCAAATGGACTTGGACTCTATTTTAATTTGGTGTTCTCAGTGGTTACTACCCTTAAACGCGGAAAAATGTGTAGTGCTTCGAATTGGCAAAAATAACCCACTTGTGCCGTACTTTGTTAACGGGCAGCCATTAGAATCTGTGTTTTCGTATAACGATCTTGGTGTTATTGTGAACAGCAGCCTAACTTGGTCCGATCATATTACCTCTATTTGTAAACGTGCAAACTCCAGATTGTATCTTATTCGGAAGTGTTTTTCGGGAGTTTCAATGCAATCATTTTGCAAAATTTACACTCTGTACGTAAGACCCATACTTGAATACGCTGGACCAACGTGGTATCCCGATCTGGTTCGAGACAAGACTGTTGGAAAACGTTCAAAGAAAAGCCACTCGAATTTCTTTGGGACCGAGAAGACCGGCTTATGCAGATAGACTTAGTATGGCTAACCTAACTACTTTTGAACTTCGCCGACAACGTGGAGACTTAATTACAACATTCAAAATACTAAAATTCAATTTTGGAAACCTCGATAAAATATTTATCATAAACCAAGATGAACGCCTCAGAGGTTATCAATATAAACTAAAGAAAGAAAACTTTTCTATAAGACAAAGACAGAACTTTCTTCCAAATAGAGTTTTTGAGTGCTGGAATAACCTCAACAATAACATTGTCTCCGCTTCTTCTACCAACTCGTTCAAAAACAGACTTGACAGTTTTATATTATAGTTAAAATATTGTTTTTCTTTTAAACCAAAAATTGTGATTTTATTTCTTTTACTTGTAATTTTTGTTATTTACTAATAGGTGATTAATGAAATTTCTTTGTTTTTGGGCATAATAGGGACTTAGTTCCTCTGCCCTCGCTTATATTATAATAATAATAATAATAATAATTCTCCTTACGTGTCCGTACCATCTGAGTTGTGTCATTTTGATGTCATCAATAATATTATATGTAACTACAATGATTTCTTGGACTCTCTCATTTGTTATTCTGTCGCGTCTAGAGATTCCCGCCGAGGTGTGCCAGAAGTCCATTTCTGTTGCTCTAAGCATTTTCTCTGTTCTGTCTTTTAGGGGCCACATTTCGCATCCATATGTTGTGATACTTTTTATTATCGTGTTGTATATTCTTCTTTTATTTTCCTTAAAGGTGTTTTTATCCCACAGTACGCTTCTCAGTAAGGCTATGCCTTTCCTTCCCTGTGTATTTCGTTCTATAATGGCTGCATCTAATTTTCCGTCCTGAGTGATCTTCACACTAAGACAAGGTTATGTTGACCTCCTCCAATATTCATGTACTCAGTTTTTTCCATATTCACTTCCAAACCCCACTCTGTAAACTCTTCTAATAGTTTTCGCATCATGTAACTAAGGTTTTCAGAGTCTTGTGCGATGATGACCTGGTCATCCGCTAAGCACAGAGGGTACAAAAAGTCCATTAGTGGTATGCCCATATTCGTACATTTTTTCTTCCATTTGTTGATTGTTGCTTCAAGGTATATTTTGAATAATGTTGGGGATATACAGCATCCTTGTCTTAGTAATTTAGTCACTTTGAATCCCGATATTATCAGATTTTCTGTTTTAATTCTGGTTGTTTGTTGGTAGTAAAACGTTTTTACTACCAACGGTTTTAAACCGTTTTACTTCAATCAATTCTATATTTATATTTGTTTTCCCCAGTGCCTCCCATAATTTATCAAGCGGGACAATATCATATGTTTTCTTAAATTAAATATTTTAAACTTAAAAACTCAGAAGTCGTTTGAATTTCTCTGGATAAATCCTAACATTTCAAGGGCACGTGAAGTTATGTCATTAATATGATCATTAAAATTTGGTTTTTTATCCAGTGTTATATCCAAATCCCATATCTGACGTATCTCTTGAAGAATAGTACCAATAAGTGTGTAATTATTATTAAAAGAAGCCTGCGTTTTACTCATCGAGCAAAAAGACAATAGGGGGAATGTAAAGGTAGTGGGGGCAAACATATTGTTAGACAGGAAGTGCGATCTTTAGAGGCCACATTAAACAAGGAAAGAGAGTCTCTCTCCTTGTTTGACATCAAATTTAGTTGGGTTATGTTATTGTTTGTCCCAAATGTCACATGAAATCTTATTTATATTGAAGTTTTTTAACAATTGTGTCGCATTTTAGACTCTTATCATTAATAATTAATTAAAACTTTCTCGTCTAAGACACATTCTGAAAAACCTTATATAGCTACTGTTGATAAGTGTCGGAAAATTTAAATTTGGCGCATTCGCATTTCCGGATATGTCCGCCATCAGAGGCCACTTTTTTGGTCTCCTTTTCATAAGGATTAGATTTCCTCTTTTGTCTTATTGCTCGATGGTTTTACTACACGTGATTTTAAAACATTTTTTTAGATTTAAGTTTAAAACATTTACTTCACACCAACGTGAAAATTTTTTAAGGACAACTGCAAACATTCACAATCAGAGAGGCAAGCAATAGATCTGAATATTTTTATGTTATCAGCGAATAAGAGACATTAGTCGGAGTTAATTACTGTTTGTAAATCGTTAACATGAGATATTATCGCTAATGCTATAGCCACAAAAATTGGCAATCGAGATCTCATGATTGACTCTATAGAAAGTTCCAATAATATTGATAACTCTTATCGAAATCGAATCCAACTAATACGAAATAATGATATCGAAAAACTCTTTAATATCCAATACGGATCTTTAATGAGGTGTCTTGTCCCAATCGTTCTTCCTCATCTCTATGCCATTGACCGCTTCCACGGTTCTTCCGCCTTTGAAGCCAGTTTCTTAACTCCAGGACAAAGGGGTGCCCTACCATTTACAAGCTCCTCCACCCGAAGCTGTTGACCAGTAAACGGGGGATTGCTTATACCGGCAATAGCTCGGTGGAATTTTCGCCATATCTGGCTACCCTCACTTAGTTTAGCCTGCAGTCCAACGCAGTTGCCCGGGGTGTGGCACGTGGAGCAGTAAGTGAGAGTTAATTGTCTTATGAGGACCAGTTATCAAGAACCATCTCTCGTCTATGACGCTCGATGTGGTCGTTCCGATAAAAGGTACTCTATAACACAACTCTACACCCTATGATGGACACTTTTGTCAAACAAGGGATCTGATGGTTCCGACACAATTATATTAGATAAACTATAAAAAACTAAGTCAAGAAATGTATTTCTGCTATTAGGTATCACATTAATTGAGATAAATTACAATAACTGGTAACTACTAATTTAGTGAGTTTTTTTGTGTTAAAATAAAGTTAGTTGGACTACGTTTGTTCAATTAATTTCTGAACCCACAGAAAAATATCAAGATTTAAAATTTGTATTATTACAATCGTGTGTATTATATATTTATTATATTTTTAATTTCAGATTATGGTTATCCACCACAACAACAAACACCGCAACCAAGTAAGAACTTATTTATTGTTGAATTCAAACAATATACCAATATATCAAATCTTCTTCTTTTCGTTATTACGTTATAACTTCTTATTTTCTATTGTTTCAGTAATCATGATGCAACCTCCAACTCAAACCTCTACATCAGGTTCGTATATTAAGTTTCTTAAATTATTCGTTTAAACAAATACTATAATTTTGTGGAGAGGTACTTTTTCTTCTGTATGATATTAACACAAATACTTATCAGAAAAACGCTTATCAGAAAAAAATTAAATGAGGAAAAAGAATAAATAAATACAATACTGTAACATTTACAATAATTGATGGATTCGACCGTTACTTGATGGAAATTCATTTTATGTAACAATAAAACACTGAAAACTTTGTTTTCAAACTTCCACAAAATTTATTTTAACTTTTATCACTACAGCTGTTTCGGCTGATTGCCTTTCTCAAGTAAAGTGTTTCTCAGAATTATATCTGTGTTTTTTAATTTGTTGATTTCCATAGATTCTAACAATGATAGCTTAAGACCTTTATTTTAAATGTGAAGAATTTTAAATTCGTCATTAAAAGAATGATTGTGATCTAGAAGATAAAATGAGTATCTAGAAGCTAAAATGAGTATCTAGAATCTGTTTTTCTATTATTGAAAGCCCTTTTATGTTCTGCTATTCGTTTATTAAAGTTTCTACCAGTTTGACCGATGTAAGTTTTTGGGCAGTCACCACATTTAAGTTTGTACACACTACTGTGTGAGAGTTTTTTATTTTGGCTTTTGTTGTTTTTGATATATTTGCCTAGGTTGTTATTTGTTCGAAAAGCTGGTGTTATTCCTTTCTTTTTTATGTGTTTGGGTATATTTGTTGATATTTTTTCTGTATATATAATCGGGTAGAAGGTATTGGGTTTTTTCTCTGGTAGTGGAAATACTAATTTCAGGGCTTTCTTGTGTAGTTTTTGGTTTAACATTATATTAATTGTTTGTTCATTGTATCAGCTGTTTACTGCTATTTGCTTAATTATATTTAATTATGTCTCAAAGTTGTATTTTGACATCGGAATTTCTGTTAATCTGTGTAATATACTATGATATGCTGCCAGTTTATGTTGTGTTTGATGGAATGATGAATTGTGTATAGTCGTGTCAGTATGGGTAGGTTTGTGAAATATGGAGAAGTCATGTTTGTTTTTAATTCTGATAATTTTTAAATCTAAAAAATTCACTATTGCAAATTAAAAACCCAATATTCATTATACAAAAAGTTTTTCGAACCATACTTTTTTCAGTAGATTTATAAATTTAACAAATACTAAATTTAGTAATAGCGAGATACAACTTTTAGAGAAAGGATTTAAACACAACTTGCCCCAACATAATAATGAGATAACTTTAGAATATTTAGGTGTAGAATGTGAAGTAGCGTTAAACAAAACTGCTAACAATATTGAAAAAAGTATAATTGCCAAATCTATTACAGATGTGTGTAGTGAAACTAAGAATTCCTGTTGGAAATAAAACAGCAACTTCAATTAAAAATAAATCAGTAAAAAACAACATAGTGTTTACAAAAGCAGACAAAGGTAACACTACTATTGCTATAGATAAAATAGAATATAATAACAAAACAATAGAATTTTTAAATAATCAAAATATTGAAACTTTAGACAAAGATCCGACAGAAAAATATCAAAAACAAATTAAGCTAGCGGTAAAAAATTCAAAATCAATAGTAAATCCAGTAGAACAGAAATATCTCAATATCATGAACCCGCAGCCTCCTAAATTATACTCTTTCATTAAACTACACAAACCGGATCACCTAGTAAGACCTGTAGTTTCTTTTTATACAGCTCCGTCATATAAACTTTCAAAAAAACTGTTAGAGATTATTTTAGAACACACTAAATTTTCACCTAAATTTACAATAACAAATACAATAGAACTAGTTAATAAAATACAACATTTTCAATTATCTAACAACTCCAGATTAATTTCGTTTGACGTAAAAAATCTTTTTCCTAGTATCCCTCCTACAGAAACTTTTATTCTAGTAAAAAACCTTTTAGACCAAAATAGTACAAATCCAATAATTACATCTGAAATTTTACATCTTCTTGAAGTTTGCATAAACCATGACTACTTTGAATTTAATAATCAAATATATACAAATAACAGAGCAGGACTTATAATGGGTAATCCTCTAAGCCCATTGCTATCAGATATTTTTATGGATCATCTAGAGACAAAGATTTCAAAACATCCTGCATTTAAACAGTTTTTATATTGGTGGAGATACGTAGACGACGTACTAGTATGTTTCACAGGAACTAACAGGCAACTCGACCAATTTTTATCGTATATTAATTCACTTCATAGTCATATTGAATTTACAATAGAAACAGAAGAAAATCAATCCATAAATATTTTAGATTTAAAAATTATCAGACTTACAAACAAACATGACTTCTCCATATTTCACAAACCTACCCATACTGACACGACTATACACAATTCATCATCCCATCCAACACAACATAAACTGGCAGCATATCATAGTATGTTACATAGATTAACAGAAATTCTGATGTCAAAATACAACTTTGAGACAGAATTAAATATAATTAAGCAAATAGCAGTAAACAACGGATACAATGAACAAACAATTAATAAAATGTTAAATCAAAAACTACACAAGAAAGCCCTGAAATTAGTATTTCTACCACCCGAGAAAAAACCCAGTACCTTCTGCTCGATTACATATACAGGAAAAATATCAACAAAAATAGCCAAACACATAAAAAAGAAAGGAATAACACCAGCTTTCCGAACAAATAACAACCTAGGCAAATATATCAAAAACAACAAGAGCCAAAATAAAAAACACTTACACAGTGCTGTGTACAAACTTAAATGTGGCGACTGCCCAAAAACTTACATCGGTCAAACTGGTAGAAGCTTTAATAAACGAATAGCAGAACATAAAAGGGCTTTCAATAATAGAAAAACAGATTCTACATCTACATACGCACTTCACCTTCTAGATCAAAATCATTCTTTTAATGACGAATTTAAAATTCTTCCCATTTCAAATATAGGACTTAAGCTATCCTTGTTAGATTGAATCTATGGAAATCAACAAATTAAAAAACACAGATATAATTCTGAGTGACCAACTTGAGACAAACAGTTCTCCCCTCCTCAACCTATTCCATTAGAGACTATAAAATGTAAACGCATGCCAAAAATAGATCACTTGAGAAAGGCAATCAGCCGAAACAGCTGTAGTGGTAAGAGTTAAAATAAATTTTGTGGAAGTTTGAACACAAAGTTTTCAGTGTTTTATTGTTACATTTAAAATAGTTAACTTTGATTTGTTTCCCAAGTGCTTTCACTTCCTATAGCATCTTCAGGGGCATCTGAATTAAGACGAGAAACGTTTTTTTAACTGAAGAAATTAATTAACTTCAATAAAAAACTCGAAGTTGATGGTTGATAAGAGTTTGTATGTGATTAACGTTTTAGACTTACTTAGTCAATTTTGGCTTTTTTAACAAAAATAGAATGTCATAAAAATAAAATTGTTCATTACACTACATTACACAAGGACAAACACTTTAAAATTTTTTAAATAGACGAAGCTACATTATGGTCAGCATCAAGAGAAAGAATGGCTCCCGATCTTAACGGAAATGTTAAGGAGACATGTGACATATGAGAGCTTGGATGGTCAGTCACAATCATGGAGGTGTAATCTGCACATTTCAAAATTCTATGAAACTAAGCATTGACTAAAGGTCCAACTGACACTACTATAGGAAATCAACTGATGAAATATGAAATTATATAGAATATTTTAAGTAAATTGCATAATCCAGATCTTGTAGTATACTAAGTTATGAATGTTGTGAGTTGGCAACACTGGTTGACAGTAGACAGTTAACAGTGGAGGTGCGGGACAAGATGGTCGCCAATATAATACACATGTTAAGTAACGATGTACAATAAAAGTAATGAGAGTTAACAATGTTGTTTTACTAATAAGAACAGAACAATAATACATGGCGCAGTCAGTGAAACTATATATATATATATATATATATATATATATATATATATATATATATATATATATATATATATATATATATATATAGTTTCATGAGCACTGTCAGTATGAAAAGTTTTCATACTGTCAGTATGAAAAGTTTGCAACACGTGGAACAAGTCCGTCAAAATGTCTGGATTTAATTTGCCGAAACCACTTAAAATGTTGGGAAATGTGAGTGAAAATTGGAAGATTTTTAAACAGTCTATTAATATCTATTTAAGAGCGTCAGGGCAGATGTCGAAAACTGATGATATTAAAATAGCGATCCTTCTAAATTGTATTGGAGACGACGGTCTAAGAACATATAACAACTTCAAGTTCGAAGAAAATGGAGAGACATATGCAGCTGTTTTAGATAAGTTTCAAGAGGTATGCAACCCAAAGAAAAATATTTTATATTGTAGGCACCTGTTTTATGAACGTGCACAAGGAATAGGTGAACCATTTGAATCCTTTTTAATAGATGTTCAAACGTTGGCAAGAGATTGTGAATTCACAGACGAAAACGAAATACTCAGAGATAGATTAGTTTTTGGATCGGCAGACAATGAAACAAAACAAAAAATAATAACTACAGAAAAAGTTTCACTGGATGAAGTTATTAAGTTGTTTAAAATAGCTGAATTGGAGAAAGTACAAGCCCAAAAGGTGTGCCAAACAGCATCATCTAGTGTTGATAAAATCAAGCAAGTGTCTTCAAAAGAAAAGTCACAAAAAGAATGGATGAAAATTAAAGTTATTGATTGTAAATGGTGTGGACGATCACATGAATGTGATAAAAAAAAGTGTCCAGCATGGGGAAAAACATGTTCAAGATGTGGACGGGATAATCATTTCTCATTGGTTTGTAAAACTCGGAAGGATAAAAAAGTAAAAGAAGTAAATATGCATGATACAGAACAGGAATATTTCTGTGAAATGAAAAGTGTCAGTGATGTAAGGTCAGTAAACTCCATATCATGGTATCATAAATTGCATGTTGAAAATGTTTTAATTGAAAATTAGACACAGGATCTGATGTGAATCTCATTCCTGAAAATATCTTTAGATTAATTAGTCAACAGTCAGAACAACAGTTAGTTTTGAACAATAAAAGTAAGGTTAAACTACAATCTTATAATGGTACATCAATATATGTGTTAGGAGACATAACATTAAATGTTACAGTACAAAATGAAAAGTATAGTGTGGAATTTATAATTGTTAATAATAATTTCACTCCAATTATAGGTCTTGAAATGTGTATTAAGCTAAGGTTGATTAAAAAATCTAATAGTATACAGGAATGCTCAGAGATTGTAATAACTAAAAATAATGTTATGAATCAGTATAATGATATATTTAGCGGAATTGGTAAATTTTCTAAAAAATATTGTATTAAGTTAAAAGCCAATGCAATTCCTTGTTCTAACCCACCACATAGAGTACCTTTAAAAATAAAGGATAAACTAAAACATGAATTAAACAGATTGTGTAAATTAGATATAATATGCAAAGCAGATGGACCAATTGAATGGATTAACAGTTTGGTTATTGTTGAAAAGCCAAAGTAACACATTGCCTAAAATTTTACCAAAAAATAATGTGAAAGATAAACTGCAAAATAGTGTAGAAGAATCGGTTTATTTCACATATAAACCTATTATTATAAATGATGAAGATCAAAATGTTAATATTGAGAATATTTTATATAGTGACATAGGTAGTGCGGAAAATGTTAATAATAACAATGAAACATTGAGTCGTGGTACTCGGATAAGAAGACAACCAGTTTATTTAAAAGACTTTGTGACTGATTGTGGTGATAGCTATGATTCAAGTTAATTAGGGAGATGTAGTATAGTAAGTTATGAATGTTGTGAGTTGGCAACACTGGTTGACAGTAGACAGTTAACAGTGGAGGTGCGGGACAAGATGGTCGCCAATATAATACACATGTTAAGTAACGATGTACAATAAAAATAATAAGAGTTAACAATGTTGTTTTACTAATAAGAACAGAACAATAATACAGATTTCACACTCACATCCACCTGTAATAATAGGGTTGTAAGTTTGAGAGCAAATGAAGTGGACATAAAGTGTGAATGAAAGAAATAGACTAAACAATCAATTAGACAGTGGGTGGTTGACTATAATAAGTGAAGCTGCAATAGAGATTTAAAAAAAAGGTTTAAATTTAGTACAATTTAAATTAATTTGAGTATTAAGACAGTGAGAGTTTTCATTTATTTTCTTTGTAATCTCCAAATCTTCCAATAAATCCAACTCCAAATAGTTTTTCTTTCGACTAATGTCAGTAAATTTTGATGTCTTAAATTGTAGAAGTAAAAAGTTTAGATAGGTTTTCTTACACTATTATATGGATAGTACCAGATCACTTCCTTTCATTTTCTACCTTAATCAATTTTCATACTACTTATTATGTAATAAATTCAACTCAAAGATTAATTCCACTAATTTAATAACTCACTTCTTTTTCAATAATAGAGATTTGCAGATTTAAGACAATAAATTTTATCATTTAAACAAATTTAATTTTAACTACAGGTTCATTAATTTTACTACTACTTATTCATTAATAAGATATTAGGTATTATTAAAAAAAAAATAAAGATTTATAATTTTTATAATAAAATAAAAAAAAAATACATTAGTTTCGGAGCACATACCTCGTCATGTTTAGCTGTCTTCTTGAATTATATTATATTACTGTCACTTCAGCCAGTTGGTCTGTGTCGTTTTAACTGACAAGTACCACATGTTAAAAACCGAGTAGGGAGACATGTAGTTCCTAAAGTATTAAATTTTATCCAATGTCATCGACCTAGAGTCACAACATAATTTAAATTTGAAATGATGTAAACCCATATATGGATGTCTGAGCCACAACTTTATTGTTAGCTTCAACTAAATAGGGCACTGAGGATGATCTAATTAGATCGAAAACGTTATGCTACTATATAAATTTTGACGACACTTTTTAAAAGTTTTAACTATATGTTTTTATACCAAAATATAATTGTGAAGTAAAAAAACATACAGAAGTTAACTTCTGTTTGTTTTTTTAAACTAGGTTATACAGCCAACTACTGGGATTTTCCCATTAATTTTTATTTTTATTTATTAGCATATCTTATAAAATACATTAATATTTGAGTAAGATTGAATTCTTTTTAATGCATCTTTCAAACTTCTAATCGCAGTAATAAAAATGGGAAAATGAATTTATCTAGTTCTGCTTTATTAATTTTAATAATTATAAAAAGATTTGTAATAAGTTGGGAATTAACTATTTTGTATATTTTTAGTTACTGTTAATACCAGTGGTGGTATTGGTGTGGGCTGTCCAGTTTGCCATAACAATTCTTGGACTGGAAGCTACTCCTGTTGCGCCTGGTGCCTGGCAATTGTGTGCTTTCCCATCGGTATAATATGCTGCTGCTGCATGAGAAGGAAGAAATGCACCAAATGTGGATACACTGTTGGATAAAATATCTTTTAATTTTTAATATAAAAAATGTAATAATAATCATTTTGAAAGTATAATAAAGAAATAATGGCTTACGTTTTATAATTGATATATTTCCTTCTATTTCGGCTAAGCACACCCTTGTTTTTGCTATTTAAGTTTTACTCTTTTTAATTCTTTGTTTATAGTATATTTTTTTTATTTTGCACCATTTAGAAATTTTACCATCCCTTTTACCAGTTTCTTCTATAATTCGATTTTATTTTTACCGCAACCTTTCTTTCACCCCTCGTCTTTATAGGGGGGGGGTCTGGAATCTTCAAAAGACATCTCATTCCAGGACGCCGGACGCCGCCTGACTAACCTTAGTGCAGGATTCGTTCTTCGTACTCCCGGCGATACTTCCCAAGGTACTTTAAAATGCCCTTTCGTTGCCGAGTCTACGCCGAACGCCTATCTGCTAAACCAGACCACCCTCCTCTGTCATCCAGCGATCCACAAGCGGAATAGCCGCTGTAAGGCCGGCATTACTTCCGAAGCACTACCTTTATTCATCAATTCTCCATTCATACACATCCACAGTCTATTCATCAGCAAGGAGTCTCCCTGTCTCGTTCCAGGTAGTGTCTAGAAGACACTCATCGCTCCTAGTTCGGCATCATTCCCAGATAGGCATTTCCTTCTTCCCGACAGTCTGACTCACTCATTCTAACTCATAGAGTGTGGACCCACTTTTCTAGCTTCAACTTTGAGTATAATTCATTTATTTTAAATTTATTTTCAATCATTCTCTCAATCATTTCTCTCACTAACAAAATTCACACATGTCTCTCTCTCCATTCTGTTCCTATCCATCTGATGCAATCTAACATCGTATGTGTCACAGTGTCCGAGTATCCACAGTATAGGCATTCATCTGTATCAGCCTTTCTGATCCTATAGAGGTAGGCCCTAATACACCCGTGTCCTGTGAGCTCCTGCGTCAGGAAATAATCCAGTTGCGTGTGGCCACAGTCTAACCAATCTCTTTTGTTCGGGATCAGCATTTTCGTCCACTGTGCCACATCCTCCGTTGTGTTCCATTCTTCTTTCACAAAACAATTACTACCAATCCACCGAAAAAGATGACGATTATGAAAGCACTCAATATAACAGTGATGTTTTGTCCGATGCCCTTTCTTCAGCGGGATTAATAGTTGGTGATGATTTAATGCCTTTATAATAAATTATCTTACGTTATTTTATACAAATAAAAAATATTTTCAAAATAACTTAACCATTTGAAACTTTTTATACTATAAACTTTTTATTCTGTTAATCTATGAATTAATTAAACTACAAGATGTTCAATTTCTACTTACCATTATAAAATCTGCCAAAGAGTTGTATATAGCCTTGCATACCTCAGGCAAAAACCGTGAAAATGTGCTTCTTGGAATTCTGTACAGTGCACTTAAGGTACCTATATTATCTCCAGTCGCTAGATATCGTAGCGTCATTTGTAGTTTTATTGTAGGGCTTAAACATTCTCGGAACCAAGTATCTTTTTTTCTTATAAACGGAGTTACTTGGTCTAGAAGATATGCGAATTGCTCCTCGTTCATTCTTAAGTGATTTCTATATACCTTAGGATTTTCCTCTGCCCATTCTCTTAACAGGGTTGACGAAGCTCCCAGATTTGTTCTCCTTGAAACCCATGGCTTCACCCACCAACGTCTTTGAGCACGTTTACGTGTCGATAAAATTGCGTTCACTTCATGTAGCGGTCCACGTGAAATTAAGGCAATGCCTGTGCGTATAACTTTTTAATTTCTTCTTGAACGAAAATACATCACCACTACTCTAGTAGTTGACCTTTAACTTTTCACAGACACTAACACTGTGTGCACAATAGGTGAAACCAGCAAACTGGATGAAAATATGTAAACGAGGATGATTACCCTGGATGATTTTACTCCGAGTGATTCACTTTGGATGTAGGGGAAAGGTAGGTAAAGTGGAATGTTTGGGTAAAGCGGAATAAGCTTAAAATTTAATTTCAAAATTGGCGGTTTTTGTTGTAACTCCTACCACAATATACCTTTTGACATTTGGCAATATTTACTTCAATATGGCGCACTTTCATTGATATGTTCATGTGAGTTAAACAAGATCATTGTTTTTTAACAAAAAGTTGTAATATTTGGTGTAAAGACGAAATTTCTTATCAGCAACAGGTAAGTTTTTCTAACCGTATTTATTATCTATTGTATAAAATGGTTATTTGTGGACATAAATACTCTTTCTTTAACTTATTAGCACGTTTGGTTAGTAGCTATCGTGTTTGTACAGAAAAAATGTTGATGCGGGTAAAGCGGAATGACGTTCCACTTTACCTCCTAAAAGTTTAACAATGTTATTAAGTGACAACATTTTTTTAGCATGCCTAATTTTTACAAACGAAAGACTTCGCAGCAGAGTTGGGACGAGAAGGCAATGGCTGAGGCTCTAACTGCATGTCAAGGTGGTTAATCAATTCATTCTTCTGCAAAACAATATAACATTCCATCGACAACTCTTTTTAGAAGATTAAAGCGACCACCAGAAGAACGTTTAGTGAAGCAACTTGGACGATTCCGTTGCGTGTTCACGGTAGATCAAGAGAGGATGTTGGTAGACTATATTCTTAAAATGGAAGAACGCCTGTTTGGGCTAACTATTTCTGACTTAAAATATCTTACCTACGAGTTTGCCATACGAAATAACATTGAACATAGATTCAATAATGAGAAGAAAGAAGCTGGTAAAGTACGGTTGCTTGGTTTCATGAAACGGCACCCAGTTCTTTCACTTCGACTTCCAGAAAAAACGTCAGCAGCGCGAGCGTCAGCATTTAACGCAGTTAGTGTCGGAAAGTTCTTTGATTTATTGGAAGACTTATACCAAAAACACAACTACAAACCTAACCGCATCTATAATTGTGACGAAACCGGAATCTCTACCGTGCCAAATAAGCCTTCAAAGATTATTTCAAAAAAGGGGAAAAAGCAAGTAGGAGTTTTATCATCAGCTGAAAGAGGTACGCTTACAACTGCAGAAATTTGCTTCAACGCTGCAGAGGAATACATCCCTCCTGCTCTTATTTTTCCACGGGTGAGACATCACTTGACATTCGACATTGGAGTTCCTCTGAATACCAAAATTTTCACGCATGCTTCTGGATGGATGCAGACCGAAATCTTTACGGCTTGGTTTCACCATATAATTAAATTTGCGAAGCCTACCTCCGAGGACAGGGTTTTACTAATTTTAGATGGCCATTCAACCCACATAAAAAAACACTGAAGTCTTAGAGCTTGCTAAGAAAAACTTTGTAGACATCCTGGTGCTACCACCACATTGCACACATCGACTTCAGCCACTGGACGTATCATTTATGTATCCCATGTCGACTTCTATGAACAGGCAGTGCGAGTTTGGCTGCGAACCCACCCGGGGAAAGTTGTGACGATTCATGATGTCGGTCCTCTCTTCGGAGAAGCTTACTTGAAGGCAGCTAGTATGGCAACAGCTATCTCAGGATTTAACAAGACGGATATTTGGCCGTTTGAGAGACCTGATCCAAACGTTTTCGTGGCTGCAGATACAACTGATCGTCCTGGGCCTCTACTCGCTACATCTAACCTGCCATCAGCGTCCACTCCAGTGTCAAATGACATTCTCCTCCATAAGACTATTGTTAGTCCTGCGGATATTTTACCTATCCCACGGGTCGCTTCAAATATCGAAAATCCAACGAAGAAAAGGGCTCGATCAGCAAAACCTGTAGTAGCAACTTCTACCCCTTTTATTGAAGAGTTAAAGAATTTGAAGGTGTTAGAATACACGGAATTTAGGAGCAAACCTTTGAAATGTTGTGTTGGCATGAATGACAGAAGGTTGTCATGTCATTGAATTGTAATTAGATAAGTCAAGTGATTGTCATGTCTTCTCTTTTTCTTATATAATTGTAAATTGTAACATGTCTTTGGCCTAATATAAAATAAAGTATTTTAACACATTTCCAAATATTATTTGAAGAACCTAACATTGGTTATGGGCCCAGAAAGAGTAATGTGTTAAAAAGTTTATTTTCAGTGTGAAGCTTGTGAGGTTAAATTTCTGAAAATTAAGTTCTGCCGGTAGGCGTGGTGTATGAAAAATCAAAAAAATAAAGTTAATAAGTATGGAAAATCGACATGGAATTATTCCATTTAATGGTAATGGGTTTGATAATTGGAAATTTCGTCTGTACTCTGTTTTGAAAGCAATGGATTTAGGTGCAGTCTTACAGGATGTACCGACTAGTGCCCAAGATGATGATTGGAATAAGAAAAATAATAAAGCCTGTATGGTGATAATACAAAGTGTGGCAGACTCCCACTTAGAATATGTAAAGAAATAGAAATTGCCCTTGAAATGATAAGAAAATTAGAAGCCATTTTTAGCAAAAAAGGTATGTGCTCTAAATTTTATTTACTGAAGGAACTAATAAATTTAAAATATATCTATGGTACTGACTTACAAGAACATTTTACAAAGTGTGATCGTATTTTTCGAGAGCTTAAAAGCCTGGGGAGCTATTTTGAAGAGTCAGATATCGCATGTTTTTTGTTACTATCCATGCCACATGATTTTGAGGGGATAGTCACAGCTATACAAACCTTATCCGAAGCAGACCTGAAGGTTGAATTTGTAAAGAGTAGGCTATTGGAATTCAGCTCAAATAAAAATAAACATGTAACTAAGGTTATACCTTCATCATTTAGTGTGACTCAAAAAGGCGTTAAATGCTTTAAATGTGGCAAGATGGGCCATTTAAAGAATGTTTGTGGTATAAAATGTCATACATGTAACAAAATGGGTCACAAATCGAAAAACTGCTATCTGAATAAAAACAGACAAAATCAGGTTGACAATAGGGCAAATTTAGCTGAAGACTTATGTAATAATCAAAGCAGTGATATTCAGACATCATCGCAATCTGTTGCATTCTGTGTTTC